GGCTGGAGGAACAGGCACCAGAGACCTCACCAAATCCAGCCAAGAATGGGTAGGAAGCGAGAGTGTCACCAAACAGGAAAAAAGAAACTTATCCAATACCAATTGGATGTGAATAAGCAGACACTTCTTTATTCAGGTGCTGGGAACACAGGGATAACTCCTCTGGAAATGTGTTCCACTTAACAAACAAAACCATCCATTTTATTTACTTGTTCTGCTGAATCATCATTATGTGCATTCTTTTACATGCTACACAAACTATGCCCACTCTTAAATTTAACATTTACATTGATTGGTTCTAATAGTTAATAACTTCATCAGTATTCTTACTCTAAAACAATCATTGGCCATCTCTCCTGAGGTCTACTGACTGGAATCCTTAATCTTAAAATCAGGATGGGAAGGATTGTGGGTTTCCAAGCAGTGTTACTGGTGAGTGTGACTGCAACAGAAGGGTCCAGTAATTTCCTGGGGAGGTTTCTACGGTTACAATCCAAACACAGCCCCCCTGATATTTCTGTACCTTATATTTCACATTTGTTTACTTACAATCATAGCTAACCCTTTTATATTATCTGATTGTTTGATCAAAACATACATAACAAGAGCAGACAGGAACAGCAGAAGCCAGGGCAGGGGAGACTGGAAAGACAGCAGAGAGGTGTCTGGGCTGAGGGGGATCCTGAGGAAAGGGGAGGAGAAGGCTTTCCCTCAGCCTGTGCTTCTTTTCTCTTTCTCAGAATGTGACCAAGGAATCTCATGTTGCCAGGGATGGGCCAAACATCCAGTTTGCTGCAATTTCCCCAGCTGTGACTGCTTGGCCATGACAGGGAAGAAGGTCTAAAAAGGGAAAGGAGGAAAAGCAGCCCCCAAACTGGGCATCTTTGGAGTGGCAATTCCTCCCATTCCTTCCTGTTGGTGAGGAAGCTTTGCCTGACAGAATGACACAACCGGGGACAGGGGAAGGGGCCTGTGGACAGCAGCTCTCACAGATGGGTCACCCAGAGTGGGGATGGCCCACAGGGCTGTCCAAAGGAGCCTCCAGGTGGGCCCCCCTCTCCCCAGGTGTGGTGGACAGTTTCCATGTGACACAATGTCAACGCAGTGATGTGACAGTGCAGTGATGTGACATCACCATGATGGAAC